CGTGGAATATACATGCACGTATATTCATCAAAGTTCATAAAAGGTATATCCTAGGTATGTACATATTGTGTATATGTGCAAACGAACATGCCAGGTATGTACTTATTGTGTATATGTGCAGGTGAATATACCTAGTATGTTCAAAACAAATATTCCGGTAATATACATGAATGTATCTCCACGGTATATTCCAAATTGGCTGAATATAAATTTTGAGTGCCCGCAGAAGAAAAGTAATTGCACGTACAAGTAAATGATTTAATGCTTTTCCTTATTGAGAATTCACATTTCTCTGTGTAGGTCAATAGTAATGATAGAAAAATACTTAGGTAAATAATGAAAAATGTTTTCGTTTTTCATTATTTTAATTTTGCCGGTCTCTCTGCGTTCTTCGGAACTACTTCGGTACAGAAGCCTATTAAATTTAATTATTTAATTAGATGTTCATAATGGAACCCATGTATGTCCCAGGAATATGCATGTACATCACATGAATGTTTCAAGTATATTCTGGGAATATCATTTTGCTATGTGTGTAGCACCAAGTTCCTGTCTCGCTCAGTGGACAAGTGATCAAAAAAGAGCGATAGGTAACTGCTCACTTTCAAAAAGTTTTCTACAGACTAAAAAAACAACATTCATTCTCATGCTATTTATAATAAAACAGGTGTCAATGCTCATTCCAACACGTAGTTCCCATCTGTTCTCTCCCTCGTACCTATGGGAGTCTATGAGCGCTGCAGCATGGCTCTGTGTTGCTGCGTTCGAACTTGATACCGTCACCCATTAAAATATCGCAGCTTGCTCCCACACAAAGTAGAGAACATTTTTTCCCCAGCGCCCTCAGAACGTGAAAAACTGATCCGTTTTCATCCACTAGCATGTTTAATTTAATTCGCAAGAACCAATAGGTATCAACAATCAACAATAAACGAAAATTTGAACACATTTTGATCGCAATGGATGGACGCAATGGTGAAAGGCAATTTTCATGGTTTTTATTTTCTGTTGCAGCAAACTGCCAATGAAAATCGGCGCTAATTTACGGGCCAATTGCGGGCTCACGTTTTTAATAAAGTTTACTCGCTATTTAATTCAGGTAGTTTATGGCACGCCAACCTGCTATTCGGTGATAGACTTATGGGCCCGTTATTCAGTCCCTTCCCAATAAATTGGACGATCAGTTAATTTGGTTGCTCTTATTAAACAGTAAATTATTCCTGCCCAGTCCATTTTCTGAGCTTAGAAATGCTTAGCATAAGAATGCTGGTTTTTTCAGAGACCGGATTAAAAGAGTGAAAATGTTGAGGGAAATAAATCAAAAATTGGAGTGCAATATTATAATAAAACAACTATTCCGGTTCATCCTGCAAAATATTTCTTCGACCTTCGCCTTTACATATAATAAATGTTGAAAACACATTATTTCAGAATATGTCCCACTGAACTACCTGCTGTCTATTAATCTATTTGTGTTTGGGCTGCACCACCCAAAGAGCGAAAATTTACGACTTTAGCCCACTTGGCATTAGCAACTGCCCTCAAAGACAAAGGCGACGAATATTTTGACAGAAGATCAGTGATTCCGGCCTTCTTCATATTATGTGAAACTGGACTAAACGAAGCAACTGACGGGGTGCATTTTGGTCAAGGTCACATTTAACACACAAATGATCGTAAATCACTAGTGCTTAGTTACTCTGCGGGTGTTTTTTCACAAAAGGTGTTCTTACATCATTTCTAACGGTTTAGATTAGTTCGTTCAACGAAAATTCCTGGTATCGGCAATTAGGTACCTATTCAGGCTTTAGCGGGATATAACCACGGGCTATACATTTATTTCAAGAACATGCCGGAACAAATTTGGAAGACTCTAGCTACCTTTGGTAGTAGTATCTTTGTATCGAAGTATCCATCTACCGGATTTTATTTTCAGTTTTGAGGTAGTGCGGGTTATAACCTGCATTATGAGAAATGGAAAATATATATTTTTTAACTGCATTTTGTGACTTGGGAGGTTCGTGTTTGCTAAAAAATGGTAATTATAATTAAATCAGGTTTTCAGCTAATCGATACGAGCATTTTTCGCACAAAAACCTTATCGAAAGGCAAAAATCTTTTAGAAAGTTTTCCAGCTTAACAACTTTAGAAATATTTTCCAGCTTAACAAGTCCTAGTTACTTTATATTTTGCATTGAACTGAACCCAATTTAAACGAATTGGTACGTGCGGATTTTCTTTCCGCCGATTTTATAAAAGGCATTTTGCAAATCGGGGAGCGCGGGCGGCAAAATGGGGCAACCGACTCCCAGCAACGTTTATATGCATGTAATCTAGTCCCGAAAATAAATAGGGGTAATAAATTGTAAGCTTCACTGCTATCGCCTTTCCGGGCGATTCGTTCGCGATTCGTTGACCATCCAGGTTTTGTTTCCCAAAAATACAAAAGTTTTCGGGTACGAACTTACTATTTTTTCGGACGGACACTCAGTAAATTTCTACGCTAAATACAAGATTCTCTACAAGATGATGTCTATCTAAACGGAGTTAATTGCAAATAACCTGCAACTGTTCGATGAAGCAAGTTCAGCAGGACGGGTAATAATTCCGGATGGGTTCAGACGTTTGCGCGTCCAATTTCAGCGCCGACCAATCGCGAGGTCGTCGACTGATTGCCGCGACCAATAAGCGAACGGCGCAGACCGATAAAAATACTCCGGCTCCATTATCAGCCATGATAGTGAGGCAACCCTGCTTAGACTGATTCGTTTCATAAATTCAGCTGAAACGTTTCAGAAAACTTCGCCCTCAGTTATTAATAAGTGCGCTCATCGCTTCAGCGAAGCCCAGCAAGAAATAATTGACTTTATAATTACTTTGTTTATGGAAGTTTCCATGCTTGGCAGTTTTTATCACCCAAAAACAATATAACAATGTATAAGACACAGGCAATTTTCTTTTAATTTTGTCATTCACGTACTATGATAATTTTTTTAAATGGCATAGTTTGAAGCAATTGTTTGCATCGTTTCATAAAAATAACATTTGCTTTTTAAATAAGCATAAAATTGCATTATAAATAAATGGCTCCCACTAGCGGCCGTTCGCCGACATCAATTGCTTTTTTGCTGAAATATCGCTTTTAACCCCCAAATTTATCAAAACTTGTCCGTAGTTCAACTGTATGATTCAAGAGGGCTGCCGTTCCCACGAGCGTTTCTGGACGCCGAAATGTCCAGAATGATGGTATATTTATTTACCATTGATATATTGAAACCAAATACATATGCAGTTTGAATGAGTAARTATTGAAAACATACAAAAAATTTACCTTATATTTAAATTCATGAAACCGAGATTTTTAATTTTCCAAAACAAAAAGCTTCAATCAAGCCATCAATTATAYGATAATCGACACTAGCTGAACCTAATACCTTTTCATAATGGAAGAACAACTAAACTTGACCGAGAGAGTAAAAATCAATTTTCAATACCGTCGATAAAAGCTGACGGTTTTCCTATGGGAACCTGTAATTATCCAACCAACGGTGCAGCATGCATCACGACAGAAAAAGGTAAAATTATAAACTACCAGGGAAGAAAAAATGGGAACACAAGTGGTAGCGTTGAAGAAATTTACATGAGGGCAGGAAATGAGAARATTATTAAATTTTTAATTGAAAATGAGCAACCATGTCTGAGTGAAACGCTGTTTGAATCTTAGTTTATMATTTTTGCCTCCACTTCTTTAACGGTTAGAAATTCTGATTCTGCAATTGAACCAGCTGAAGACAGTTGAGAGTTGTCTTATCAAAAAGGTTCTAATGATTGTTTGGATATACATATTCGCTCGTTTCAGATTTTTCCGTTTTACTCTGAAAATAATTCGGAATTTGTGAAATCCTAATTAAAAAAGGAGCTCTTGAAGTTGCAGAATCCACTTGAACATGACGCTGCTTTCTTCGAGGTTCCTCAAGAACCAATCGAGCCACAGAATTTGTTTTGGCATCGATCGTTGGATAGAGAATTGAAAAGTCGATTCGGTCGTAACATGAGTGAGGAAATTCGAATAGTTTTGGCCCAGAAAGCGAAATTTGAATATCAGACAC